GACTGGACCCTCCGCACTCGGTGTCTACAGACCGTGTACTTTCCTGAGGACCACACCGGAGTGATGCTCGCCCAAGGTATGAGCCTGACATTGCTATGCACTTTTGTGCGTTCGCTAGTTTTACTATTATTGGTTTTACTAATATGCTTACACCAATGAACTGTGTGCTTTTACAGCATACGCATGTTATTCCAATGAATTCCTATGAAAACATAAAATGCAACATCAGTTGTGCTATATCGTGATATATATCGTTATCGTGATATAAAATAATCCATATCGTGATATAGTTTTTTTTCCATATCGCCCAGCCCTAGCATTTTCTAACCTTTGCCTAGTACTTACATACACATCAAATAACTTTAAAAGGTTTTATTAAGCAAAGCAAAATAGCTTATTTCAGTTTCTATTTTAATCATCAATAAAAACAGTAAAAATGAACTGCAACTGTGCATTATTTGCATTTTTATTATCTGATTCAATAAAAAGAAACTGAGAAATGTATTTTATTTATGGGGGATATACATAGTCCATGTCTTATTTTGGACAGAAAACTGACTTTTGTTACATGGCCATGGTGGACTGGGTTCATGAGGGGGTCAGCAAATGATTTATTCCTTACTATGTATAACAAGCATAGCTCTGAAGCTTATAGCAACAAAATAATGCATTTTCTAACATCATGTGTCTGTAAATGGTTGATTAAATACAAAAACAGGCAGTGTTGCAGTGTAACGGGATGGTGAAACAAAATTAATGTTGCAAAAATGCGTGCCCTGTCAAAGGATCAATGATTAAACCTCAACCTTAAGAGGATGACCCTCGGCTCAGTCTTACCAGTCTGCTAAATCGGGGAATTCCCATCATCATAAGGATTTGGATGCCCCGTTGTCTACACTTAATAGATGCGAAGTCCCTGAAGTGGAGCTTAAAGTAGGAATGACTGCATAAAGCAATTTAATCTGTTTTTAGCTTGAAAACGTTCCAACTGCATATTTGAGTGTTTTAATCTTGGAGTTCTGCAGGAAGACCTTATATTTTTGCATCAGTGGAAGGTTTACATCAAAGAATGTCTCTACTGCCACACAATCCATCATACAAAAGAAAGTTTCCTGTTTCTTTCTTTGGGAAAAGGATATAAAATAAATATGTATAATGACACTATTAAAATCAACAATACCCAGAAAGCTGTCTAATGAAAAAAAAACATCCTATAATAGCAAACATCTTGATTCCTAGCTTGAAGTTTATGTATTGTCAGTAAATAAAATTCCAGATTGAGTGAAGGCTAATTAGACACTTACTGAATCTAATCAAAGCTAAATGAAGATGCATTAAATGCTTTAATGGGCTGAAAAAAAGGCAAAAAGATAGTATAGTTAGATTTATAAGTAGACTCGTTAAAATGATTTCTTTCTGAGCATAAATTTTAGAGTTTGTCTCTGTGCATAAACTACATGAATATCTAAGATGAGCATTTTTCACATTCTCAACCCTCACTAAAAATGTATCATACTTTGCCAAGCTATTTATCCCCTTTTAAACGTTTTATACTTTGTCTAATTAGCGCAAAGATGTCATTGTATCTGAATAAAATTTTATGTGTTGATGTGATTTATATTTAAATTGATGTAAAGTTAAATTATACAATAGTTTCAAACTAATTTTACAAATATAATCTAATAAAGGGCTGTGCTCATATGTATTCTACCCACTTACTCTGACACCCCTAAATAACATTAAGTGAAATTAGCTGTCTGTAAAACTAGTCAATAACATCCATCTGCATGACGTTATTTTAGTTTTGCTCAGTGAAAACCTCAAAGGGTTCTTTAGGTTATAAAAACATCCTCATGAAGACCGGGGAACACCGAAGACAGCTCAGGGACAAAGTTTCTGTCAATTTTTAAACAAGTTTGGTCATATAGCATTACCCCAACTTTAAACATAGTGCACAGCACTTCAGGTTTTATACAAAAAACAAATGTAAAATGCATATCTAATAAAAGAAAGTGATGCAATAAATGATTTTGTAGAACTTGCGGATAGCCAGACTATAAATAGAAGAATATGTTAACAGGTAAATACTCTGTTTTGTACTCTGCAAAACAAGAAAATCAAAAGAAATATGCTTAATACGTTGCATAATCTAATGTAAAAAAAAAACAGCATAAAAGCATACAAAATATGCAGAAGAAAGTGAGATGGTCGAATGAGACCAAATTATGGATATGTCTGGCCTCTTCTTTCACATAATGAGCGGTAGAAGACTAACACTTTACATTAGTCTAAACATACCGTCCTCAAGTTGAAAACAAAGTCATGTTGTCAGGATCCTATTGCAAGAATGCTCTGTTTGGGCTTCACTATAAAGCAGAGTAAGACTTGAAAGGAAGAAGGATATCTGCACTGCAAAAAATTAAAATATTAAATATTTTTTGCTTGAAATTAGTGTATTTCCCCTAATTTAGCAGATTGTTCCATTTGCCAGTTTATTAGGATGTTTAAAATTGAAAAAAACAACTTCATAATTTTTTTCAAGTGTATAAACTTGAATTTTCTGACAGATTAAAAAATTAAAATTAAAAGAACGACAAACATGCAATGGAAAGGAAGCTCTGACAAAAGCCGAAATTGCGTGTCTTAGAAACAAATTAATGTTGACATAGAATTAAAGCTAAGAGGTGGAAGATGGTGTTACAAAGTATTTGCTCCTGAGGCTAAATTAACTCACTCACACCACATCTTTATATGTACATTTATTAGAAAACATTAAAACCCATTTTTCCCGCATTTACTAATTAACACAAAGTTATAGTTAAATCCAATAAAACATGTTCCAATACAGCATGGGGAATGATTACCCTTGCCAAACATCCTATATCTGTTTTTTATTAAAGAATTAAAAGTCAGTGCTTTCCATGTTTTAGTCCACATGAAGAGAGCTTTGCTTTCCACATCATCAACAAATCCAGTCTAAAAATGCTTCTCAGGTCATTCTTTGGCCAGGTGTATACCTAAACCTCCACAACATTTTCCTGCGCTTGTTAGGAATGGGACCATAGTAACATGCAGCACGATGTTCCAGAAGCTCTGTAGCCAGCGAGTACCAATGAGGACACAATGAATGCAGGGGCGGACCATCCTGTCACAGAAAAAGAAAACACAAACACTCCATAGTTAGTTATCTAAACTTTAGAGGAAAACTGTTTGTCTCTTGTTATAGAATAATTTAAAAATAATTATCTAATAACACACAAATGAAACCCCTAATTACAGTGATTTGTTAAAGCACTGACCGCCTTACATATTTCTGCTGTTTTTATTCAGTCTTTAGCTTAAGTTTTCAAATAACAAATAAATATTTTTATATATCTATTAATTAAAAGACAAAATCATCAGAATTGCCTTATTAAATTATATAATTATTTTCATAATAAATGCTTGTGTTAAAAATCATCAAGTGGGTAAGTGCTTTGTCACGGCCCTGTAGGTTTGATTTGTCTCTTCCTTATTTTATGAATATTTTTCACTTTAACTAGCAATAAGTGATGTTATAACATGAAAACTATATCTTAAGCATGAAGAGAAATTTAAACCTACCAAATGTGGAAACAGTTGAGGATGGCAAACAGAAGCCCAGAGACAACTGACATGGGAATGGTCAGAATCACAGTGACTATCCTGTAAATCCATATCCTGGACACTTCAAAGAAGGCATTGCTCCAGATCCACACCCTGTCTCCACTACGTACAGATGGCGGCTCAGCTATCACATCCTCAAAACCCACCTTAAAGACACAAAGAATAATTCAATCATTTATACATTTAATGCTCATAGAGGGCTTTATAAATGACAGAAAATACAATAGAGTGCAATCAGTCAAGAAATTACATAGTTAATCTAATAAAGTCATTTATATACATCACAAATGCATAACAGCACCCATTTAAGTAAGGTTAATTTAGTTATTGCATAAGACGTTTTACCTTCAGGCAATCATTAATTCCTCGTGGGTCCCTTGAATTAATCAGAGGTTTGGTATCACTGATTTCCACCATTGTGGAGGTATGAATGTTCTCCTCCTCATCCAGAGAGGGCTGGGCTCTCCATAACGTCTGAGGTTCCTCCCCATCTTCTGACTCTTCAGGGTTACTCGAATCACCAAGATCAATCTCCACTTCCTCTGAATCTTCACCTTTCTTCATAGTTTCCATTTAAACACCTGAGGAATTTGAGAAAAAGAGAGTAAAAGGGTCGCCTGTCACCACCCCAGCAGCCCCAACAGAAGGCCACTGACCAGACCCTTCCAGCTGGCTGAGTGCTGAGGTTATATTGGGAACGTTACAGTGACGCGGATGGTATTTGCAGTTGGTATTTCAAGGGAAGATCATTTTCCTCTGCTGTGGGGAGGAAAGAAGTGGTTGAGGAGGATATAAATACTTCAAACATGATCATGGCTCTGTTTGCAATACTGTAGAATAAATGTAAATAAACATGAAAAGAAAAAAAAAACAATACACAACACAAGTAATGAAGCAATGGTGAGGTATTTGACAAAACTTGTAAATTCTGGGATTTTATTCATTTCTCAGATTGCTTTTTATCTATTCATTGGTTCAAGAAGTAAGGACAGGGACCTTAACTGCAAGATAATACTGCCCCCTTGTGGTGGCTAAAGGAGCTCCACTGCTTTAGCAGTGAGAAATGAAATATAAAGGGATTGATATACTGTTGTGCTTTAATGGCCACTTTTTAAATGAAGCTTGGTGACACATGGTCTTCAGAAAGTTTAACAAATCAAAGAAAAGTATAGCATGCATGCATTCAGCTCCTGATTTTAAAGTTTGTACAATATTTTTTTGCAGCAATCATACCCTGGGGGTGAAAAAGGTGAACCTTTTTAAACATATAGAATCTTGTCTTTGTCTCATTACGATTACTTACTCTGGAATAAGAGTCTTCATTAGATTTAAGTCTGGACTTTTAATTTAGCCGGGATTAAAACATCTCCTTCATTAGAGAAACCTCAATAACCTCCTTTTGTAAATGTTGGAACATGTTTGTTTAGTTTCCACTTCATTTTGGGTCTATGATTTGATAATACTATAGCTCTTTTACAATGTTTTCACCTAAATCTGTGAACATAGCCACTCATCAGCACACTTTTTTTTCTACTTTGCTCAACATCCATGCATAAAACATGTAGGCCTACATATGACTATTTGCATATTCATATAAGAGGCAATCCACAACCCCAGCTCTCTGGGGTAATAATTACCCACCAGGTTGTCATTACAAAAATCTTTAAATAAAATTCAGCTTCACTTCTAAAGGTACATTTTCTTTATCAACTGCAAAGAGCATCTTTTTTCATTTTTATAAAATCACAACAACCCATTTAAAGAAAAGATTATAAAACAAGCTTGGCAAGCATTAGGGCTGCATTTCAATAAGGTGGTACTCTTGGAAAAAAAATCCTTTGTAAATTCTCAGTCAGCCCAGTCATGGCAACCACAAACCTTCCAATTTAAGCCTGTTTGTAATTGGAAAAAAAAAAAAAAAAACATTTCCTCATGATATTCCTCTTGCCACATATCAAACGAAGCAGCCATGAATTCAGGCAACTTCCTTTGTTGCTCTCATTAATGTTGCATGCCCACACAAATAGGAGGAGACGATGGTAAAATATTTCCATCTGAAAAGCTAGTACAATGTCATCACTGCAGGTATGAAACAAGCTGTACATAAACATATTTTTGTGTGTTTTACTCTGCATTGACTACACAAGTGTTTCCATGGTTATGATCATTTATGGTTGCTGGATGAAGACAAAGAGAGGAAACATTGTATTGATGGCAGGGAATTTCCTGCCTCAGTGCAGGAGACGAAGGCATGCTAATGGATTACCCACCATAGCAGATAGAGTTTGTTTGTTTTTACCTGCACAGGTGGGGTCAGCAAAGTGTGAACTTATTATAGTTACTATACTTTAAGGGGACAATGTAAGGCCATACACTCTCATTTCCATATTTTATGGGGACTTGTAGGGCCTAACCTTGACCCATACCCTAATCCTCACCATTACAAACCCTAACATAAACTGAATTCACACCTTAGACCTAAACCTAACCCCAAAACACCCAGTTATGTTTTTATGACATATGGGGACATTTCACTAAGTTACATATATTTTATATAGCTCAACCCAGACCCTTACCCTAACCCTAACTATTACCAACATATACCTAAACCTAACCTTAACCTAACCCTAACCCAAGTAAAAGGACAGAAGTTTACCATATGGGGACTGGTTCAATGTCCCCATATGTACCTGTAAGTCCCCACATGTAGGATATTTTACAAAATGCTTTATCCACATTGTAGGTTAAAAACAAGTACACACACACACACACACACACACACACACACACACACACACACACACACACACACACACACACACACATATTTTCTGTTAAATAATTGTGAGGACATACATGTACTTGTGGAGACCCCTCAACTGGTCCTCATAAGAAAAATGTCATGATCTTGGCACTGATGATTGACTTAAGTACTCATTTCATACATTTTCAGTTTAATTCAGTTTATTTATATAGCGCCGATTCACAACACGTCATCTCAAGGCACTTTACATTTCACCAGATCATACAGTCAAATTGATTCAGATTTTACTATCTAAGGAAAACCAGTTGATTGCATCAACTCACTGACTTGAAGGTAATCCCTCACACTAAGCATGCAACAGTGGAGAGGAAAAACTCCCTATTAACAGTAAGAAATCTCCAGCAGAATCAGGCACAGTGTGAGTGGCCATCTGCCAAGGCCGACTGGGGTTTAAGGAGACAGAAGGAGACATACAGAAAGAAGGAGAGATACAAAAGGCAACTCTAAAAGGCGGCCCCGTCCAGGAAACACACAGCCAGGCAGACGAGCTCAGAGCCAGCTCACACGTCAGAGGATGAAGAGAGCACATCCAGCCAGTCAAAGTCAGAGAAATAGGACTACACTGAAAAACAGGCCGATCTCTAACATCTATTAAAAAAAAAATGGTTTTGATAGCACCAGCACAGCTGATATTTCTCTCCAGGGTGGTGTCACTGCCAAACAGGAATAGACAAGGCAAAGCTACTATTAGAAAAAGGAGAAGGAGCATAACATTAGAGGCTGAATTAACAGAATCTGCAGTGGAAGAATAGAGATAGAATGAAGCAGAGTGAAGAAAAAAGGGTCCCTATGTCCTCCAGAAGTCTAGGCCTATAGCAGCATAACTATAGAGATAGCTCACGATAATCTGAGCCACTCTAACTACAAGCTTTATAAAAAAAAGGAACGTTTTAAGCCTATCCTTAAAAGTAGACAGGGTGTCTGCCTCATGGACTAAAACTGGTTGTTGGTTCCACAGGAGAGGAGCCTGATAACTGAAAGATCTTCCTCCCATTCTACTTTTAAAAATTCTAGGAACTACTAGTAAACCTTCAGATTGAGAGCAAAATGCTCACCTGTCCAATTCTGCCCGGTTTCTCATTACCTCTCATCTGATCCACCTTCTCCTTCGTCAATTTAAGCTGCTTGCATCCAGTCATCAGAGCCAGATTATTCTTGTTCTCTCCTGCCAGTGGTTTTTAGCGTATCTTAGTGTTTCTGATTTCCTGATTCTGACCTGTTCTACCTCTCAACTACTGAGCCTGCCTGTTCCCATCTGATCTCAGTGGTGAGAGTATTTTTAACATACCCGAGTGTTTCTGATTACTTGATCCTGACCTGCTCAGCCTCTCAACCACTGTGCATGCCTTTTCCTGTCGGAACGGTTTGCCTAAACTGTCTGTGAACTCCTGGAACCTTGAACCAGCCTGTTCCCGTTCTGACCTGTTTCCCTGACCTGGCTTCAGACCCCTGCCTGTTCTCCTGGGCTTGCTGTGGAGAAATCATCCGGCTGGATTCCACTCCATCCTCTCGGCTTGGACTGAAAAAAAACAGGTTAGTGACACACATGCTCATTATCATTCGTTGTCAGAGTGTTGTGGTCACCTTTGCGTGTGTAGGGGTATGTGTGTGTCTGTATATATATGTGTGTATTAGGGGGATAGTGCATGTGTGGATCACTCAAAATAGAGAAAGTGATGCTCAGAACGGACATTTTACTATCCTAGGAAAATACATTTAAAGATTATGTAAAGAGGTGACTTTAGATGTCTCAGTGTTTGCTATTTTTAAGTAGTTTTTGTAAATAATTCTGCAACTTTTTCAAAGCAGGAAATATCTTGATAGTAATATCATACTGTTATAGATTGCGACCATTTGGGTTTCATAAACCTTGCTAGTTCAGAGACTAGCTCTGCTGCTATGGCAATTTACACAGTGACTTTAGTCTGGAAAGGACCAGGCATAGAGTTTACCTAGGATTAATTTTAATTGTGCAAATTGGTAAGAAAAATTAAACCAAAGCCAAAGTGAATAAGCCATGAGATCTGCTGTCTGAATAGTGCTAGCAGTAAGGAGGAAAGAAGAGGAAGCAGGATGTTTCTGCTGCATAGGAGCTAAACTGTTGCCCACAATCATTTGCATGATGGGAAGTATTGGCACAGCCCATCTTATGAAGTTTATTTTTAAAAACTTTAATTATTCACATGTGCTGTTAGTTACACATGCAAATGTGCACATGTTCATATTTTTGGGTTTTATAGTGAAAAGTTTCAGCCGTTCTCTACATTTGGGTACCGGTAAGTTTTGTTTTTTATAGTTCTCTTTCAGAAGGCTGTAGTCCCCATTTGACAAGCAGCATCCATTTGAGTTTCCAACACATAATGATGTCTGTAAGGCTGAAGGCTGTCACCATTCCACACAGCAGTCAGGAGTTTCTGTCTACTCTGGATATTCTTACTGTTGACCCCATGAAAGGTGAGGGAAAAAAAGGCTAGAACAGAAACAGGAGGTAGAGATACAATTTGCACAATTAGGAAGGAGGGTAAGTTAAATCTATGTCTTCATTGTTGTGTCCACATCAAGGGTCACTGTAAGTAACAATAAGAGTATTAGAGCCATCATTTGTGCCAAATGTATACTGCCATAAATACTTCAAACTAATATTTATCCAACAGGTATTTAGGCAAAAAGTTATAGCCTACATATACCACAAAATGAGTGTATATACAAATATATGTTTTGGACTTAAGCAAAAAAATATATACAAGTTTGAATTAAAACATTATACATAAAAGCAATCTGATTTTTTGTCCCCTCAACTCTGACACAAATTTTTGTGTCAGAGTTGACCAAGTTCTTTATAAAT